GTCGATATACAATCCATCCTCTAATGTGGCATTAAAAAGCTTTCAAATTTGATGACAAATCGATCACGAGTTATCTGTGTACATTTACGAAAATCCACACCCAATAGTCCAAATGTTTCGTTGATACTGCAACGAATAGTATGTAAACTTTATCACGGAGATAATATTCGTTACGCAAGGATGACTCGCAACTTGCCAAATCCAATCTCCATAATTCTACAATTATATTATGGAAATATAACTTTCGCTGAAAGTGGATTACGTGATTGAGAGTCTGTTCGCATCCGCTACTTCGTTCGCAAAATTTCGCGCGCTACTAAATGCGCACGTTAATTAAATAATCCGGTTATCCGTACTGAGCATTCTGTACATTGTTGCGACAACAGATTTCCCGTGTTGAATGAATCGTAAAACTCAGCATCAGCAGCATCGGTACGGATATCACGAAATCCCGGAAACGTGTCAATCATCCCCGAAATTGCGGTTGTCGAAAAGGAGGAACCGCGGCGAATGAGACAAAGGACAACGAAATTTCGTGGATTCGCAGGCACCAGCCGCTCCATTTCGCTCGCCAAGCGCTTCCTAACTCGTATCAATCTCCATTACTATATAACTCGGCACAGTCGGGGTGCTGAGACGCGAGTTACTTTCCACTTCAGACGCGCGCGTTTTAGGTTTCGCGAACAATGCCAGCCACTATCCTTGAGGCGCGTTTGCGCGTCATTTGCGATGCAAACGCTCTGAATCTTTCGAATTTTTCTCTAGCCCGGAATACAATAATACCACATTTTTAAGTATCTCCCATATCCTAAGAATTCTCAAGTAACAGAAAGCTGAACCGAGCAATTTGACATTTCATTCGTGGTATAAAAACCTATTGTGGTATATAAACAAATAATTTGCGATGCACGATTCATTGAGTGACACGATGTGTGGCTCTTCCGCTTTTATTCCAATTCTTTTTTATTTACAAGTGAATCTTCTTCTTTCTACGTTTAAAATATAAGCGCGGCTACGATTTAGAAAGAGAGAAAGAAACGAAAGAGACAAATTACAAACGTCGAGAAACAGGCAATAATAATAACAATCACTGCGTTAATTACAATACTTAATAGCGGGAATCATTTCGTAGTACGTGACAATAATTACGAATTCCTCATTAGAGATTAATTAAGAGATAATGATGAATCAATGAAGATTTAACGAGACTACGCAATGAATTAGTTTATGTACACGTACACATAAGTGACGCGAGAAGATGCAAAACGATATCGGCTATTTGAAAAAAATAAATCAAGTCTGATGCGTATCTGTAGACGCTTGTACTTACTCGTGTCGTTCGTATATGTACCAAAGGTAAGTATTGCGTACTCTTTATTCGCTCAATCTTTATTAATTTATCATGTTCCTGTTGTCTCTTTCTACCGCTGATAACACATTATCATCCCGAATCACGTGCTACCATTTGCTCAAACGCATGACAAATTGACGCTTTCTTTTTACCGTTTATGTATTTGCGTCATGACTATGTCAACGTTATTAATTGAAGACTACGACGATAGACTTTTTTGTAAAATTTCATTCGTAATCAGTTTAGCTCTTCAAATATATCTGTTAGATAATTTTTCTAAAGGAGATATCAGATCTCTAAGGAAAGTACAACTAATTTACTATTGCTGTAAGTTTGAAGGCATCAAAAGTAAATGAAATAAAATAAATACATACGAATGTGATTTATTCTTCAATTAAAAGTTTGCTCATTGGTATAAATAACGAAATTATGTAAATAATTTTCAAATGATTCTTTGTTAGAATTTTTATTAAAAACCGGATACTATAAAGAAACATTGGCTGAAAGCAATCTTAAAACCAGTCTTGAATAGAATATATGAATGTGCAGTCTACCTGAAGATGCGTTGGCCGATTTAGCAACGCGAGAAATAAAGTTCCGCGATTCACCTCAACGAACTCGTACAATGAGACAAAAAGAAACTGATAAGCAGTCACGTAGCTGTGAGAATTCACTATTGACAATCGGAACTAACTATTTTAATCCCACGGTGTATTTATAGATTTTTCCTATTCCCGCACGGGTGAATATAATCCGCTGAAGGAAGATTGTTCTCCGAACAATTTCTAACGATTGTCGCTATTCGATCAAACGTAAGAATAAATCGCTTTTCGAGATATAAATTGATCAGGCGCGCTTTTATATTATTTCGTTGTATTCATGTGGTGAGTAAAGTCAACAATTCAATAAATGAACAACATTGACGAGAATTAAAATGCCATAAATGAAAAAGTACATACATAAATTTTATAAATTACTGTAGTAAAAGAGGTGACTTTGTCATTATTCTTGAGGAAAGCAGATCGCAAACTGTCATCGATCTCGTGAAAACTGAGTCATTTTAGATATGTAAAAATAGCAACACATGACTGATAAGTATTTATTGACGTAATGCAATTTCTGAAAAATAAAGTTATCTGTCACACATATGTATATACCATTTAACATTTGATATTGCTAATCTATCAATCAGCCGTTCTGCATCCGACGTCATCAATGGACGCGCGCTAGCTGGCTACTGATACTTTTTAAATGTAGCAGCCGTGCTGCGTGGACTTCCCAGTATTACGTCGGCGGCTGACCACGTCGCATGGATTGCGAATTCGCTTCGGAATCGGATTCAGCTGATCAGCGAGACGTACGGAGTTTCGAGTGCCGTGAATGAACCCGTGAACGTCGTATGGTGATTGACTGACGACCAGCCAATCTAGATTTTCCACGACGTCTTATCCCTCCATCTCGATCGGGAAACTGATCGAATTCATTTGGCCGGAGAACGTGGGAGCCCTTCGTAATTTTACGTCGGCAGACAGCCAATCGCGAAGCCGGCATCTGCGTGTCCATAAGTGCTGCTGAATTACTCGAAATTTATCATCGTCGTGGCAAATTAATATAATGCTGTACGAAATAATGCTTACGTAATAGTAGTATTATCAGACGAAGTGAAAGGAACGCGTACTGACCTTGGCAGACAACACACAATATTCGGGATGTGGATAACACGGAAACTCCATCAGACATCTTCAAATATGTGACGTTACAGGTAATGCAAATTGTTTTACCAACAAAAATGAATTCCACGCGGATCGACGAGAGTTCTATAACGCACCACTCTTACCCCGTAGGACTTTTAAGAATTTCAACTTCGTATTAAGGTAGAATTTAATAGTTTAATCCAAATGAATAATAACTTGTGAAATTGCACCTGAGTTTAAAAACTTTTCGACAGCGAGTTTCCGCGTAGAAGGCAAAAGATAAAATTTTGCACTTGTCGAAAAACTTTCCATTATAATATTAGGCGAGCGTTTTTACGCTAGAACGTAGAGTGTTAGATATAACAGTAGAAATAACGGAAATTGAACTTATTCTTCTTTCGAACCATCTGGGCCATCTTTTTAAGTTAGTCCATTGAACGAGTCTTGTAGCATGGGGGATTCTTAATAATAATATTCAGCAATACAATGACTTTAACAGTATGCTATTAATTTTACTGCGCTTTTTAAAACTCGCTCTCTTTTTCTCTCCCTTTTTGCGAATCGTGTCAAGAGAAGGGCGGGAAGGATCCCCGTTTGCTTCTGATAAATGAGTAAAAGGTCTCGTTGACAATTCGTCTTCCATTGATAAGATCTAAATATCAAGTACGACCTGTTGTGAGGGAGTTTAAACCTAAAAATTTAAACTCTAAATTATTATTCAGCAACAATAAACGCCAAGAGAATCCATTCGAGTTATATTTCTGCCTGGTAACGTTGCCACATTAGCAGTAGTTAGCAGTACCTTACGCAACTCTGCCGATATGGGCAATACGTAATATAGCGCTATTACTTGGCTATTACTTTGCAACACTTTTATGCAAATTCATGCATTAATCGTCTGCAAGTATCGATATTGTAATGTTTCGAAATTCACAATATACACCCTTTGTCTGCCCGATTCAATTTCAATAAGTAAATGTAGTTTCCAACTACGACAATTTTTGTGCCAACGGATAAGAATAAAATCTCTACGTTCAGACGTTTCATACATGGGTACATATAATCTTAACGCATTAAAAAAATATATTTAACGATAATTTATGCTGTTTACTATCTCTTCCATTACCGAACGTATATGTACGAGAATGGCATTGCAATTATATATATCCTTATTATTATATCGATGCCATTATATTTTATGTTATAATTCACTGGCTGAGGACCGAAATGTATGGGTTTCATTATAATTGCAAATCTGTTCGATCGCTGGATATGAATTCATTCAAGGAAACGCTCGGATATTACCCATTTAGCATCAGAAACGCGATCGGACTATGGGTGTATTTGAAAACGCTGTGATTATTCGTATCACGATCGTGCATTTTTATCGAGGATACCCGAGCAGCATCACAGTGCGAGCGATGTGTCCATTGATCTAACTGCTCGACATCAATAAGAAAAACTTATGTACCTAAAACTCTTTATGAAACAAATATAAAAACATCAAAGGCGGAGAGAAAAAGTGTTCTTTGTCGTAAAGCTATTTTCATAAATCAACGCGCACTTGCATAGCTTTGATATTTCGTATGCCACAATACATCAGGCAATATCGTGATACATACACATAGACACACACGCGCGCACAGACACACTTTATGGTCAAATAAACTGGAAAGGTACTAATTAAATAAAGTTATTCATAAACGGAATGGGGTTCTTACTGGCATAAATTCACCTATAAATACAATAATTGTTAGGCAAATAGGTAAAAACACGCAAAGATCACTTAAGAATCGTGCGATTGTGCAACGTACGCACGAAACAAAAGCCGACCTTTGATAAATGTACCGACCTTGCTTCTAAGTACGGTGATTCAATCGTGTTTCATGCCGCTCAAGATAGATATGTTACTTGTTCTCGCATTGCAAAATTATTTTGCCAGGCGATATAAATAGTTGTTGCCGCGGGTGAGGCCCACATTCGAATGAAGCGTGCTCGCACGCGGGAGTAAACTGTCTTTTAATAACCGCATTCGTCTAGCTCCGTTTTTTCCCGGACGCAGCTGCACGTCAGACTGGGGACACGTGGAAGGAGAAGAGGGAAGGACAGAAGAAAGACCAGCCGAGGGGGTATCTTCTCGCAAAACTTTGTGCAATAATCCGCCGCGAAAAAAAAAGTGCAACATCTGTCGCTGTCAAAAAGTCCCTAATGCGAATTGGGGGGGACCTTGTAATATGGCAGGACGCGACCCGTGCCGCCACGATCTCGGGTTTTTTGCTGGGGCAACGGGAGACCGCTTCCTCTACCGTCATCAGCAACTACCGCCACGAGCGACACGGAGAACAGTCCAGGTCATGGCAGCTGGATTTGCATTGTAAAGTTTCCCGTCTCTCGCGTCCTACGTGCGCAATTTCGCTCAATTGCGCCGTCGCTGCTGCTAGCTCTTCGAACCGGGTAAAGCTAGTTACAAAAGCTCTTTCGCTTCTTCCCACCCTCTTCCATCGTCTTCCGCGATCTGATAGAGGTTCATGCATTCCGCTCCCAGAGGGCCCTCGTCCCGATTCAGTAAAATTCGCGCAAGAGTTTCGGTGGCGTCACAACCCGAAAAGACATAACGCCAATGTTAGTTACTGAAACGACATTCGGACACACTGTTCCAACTACGAACTCTTCGATAAAGTGGAGCTCTCGTTGGCAAACGTTTGCTAATAAATTATTTCTTTCTAGATCTTTAACGTCAATCAATCTTTCAATTAAGTTTCAATTATAAGATATCTAGATTAAAATTTCTTAAAAGAAGATTCATAGAAAGATAAAAGGTATGAGATAACTGTTACGAAAAATATCGTCGATTATAAATTGATAACTGAATCCAGCAAGATAATATTTAGTATGCATGTAGTCGCGAGCAATCACGATAAATTCCACTTCCATTAGGATGTAAGGTATCAAAGGAATTCGGATGACAAGATTTAATCTTGCCCAACTTCACATGTTAATTGGATGTCTCCATTTAAGTGACTGATTAATATCAAGTAGAAGTAACGTTGATTTAATGTCGTTTCTCGATGTTAGACAGAAGAGATAACGCTATAAATAAGAAAGTTGTTTTACTAGATAAGTTAAAGGAAACATCAAAATGATTGACTTGGCTACATATACATACATTGACTATATAACACACATATACAAGACGTATAATTTTATAACATATTAATTCAGTATACATCTGATAATTTTTTATAGAGCCATTTTGGCTTTATAAATGCAATCGAATAAATAGTCTGTACTCGATTATTAATGTTTCTCAAATTATATCGATTGCAGTTACACTCTAATGGGATATACATATAAGAATTAATTTTTTATACTTAGTTTTCAAGTGGTCGTTCATTGCTTTGCAATAATGTGATATATAAAATATATATTTACACAATGCTATATAATTAAAGATTTTATAAACATCTTAATTTCATAAACCTTAAATTAACCTTAAAGTAACCATTTATATTATTTAACACTAAAAATATGAACACTTCAACTGATTTTTACTCTTTTTTACATAACACAAATATTTAAAATGTATCTTCCTTTTAGCTAATAAAATTAATAATATCGTTTCATTACACTTAATTAATTGTGAGTAGAGACTATATTATATTATTCTAAATTGAAAATTAATAAATGTAGAAATAATACAAGTGTCTATTAATCTACTACAATATACCAGACAGATATGTGATAACGAAATTAATAGCTCAATTGGCGATAAAGTTGACGTAGTAAACAATTTTATCTTATTTTGTACGATCATCCATTTTCATGGAATTGTCGACGGATATACTGACAGGAAGAACCGCAGCCATTAGGTCAATTATCTTATGCTTGACGAAACATCGCGCAACGCGACACAATGTAATACACTAAATGTGCACAAATACACGCGCGTATTTATAGCTAATTTGTGCAAATCAGTAATTAAAGGAAATTGTATTTGTCGAACACAGGAATCGCAACTACATTTGCATTGTAGAATTGCATGGTACTATGCGGTTACGCTGCACCATTGTATTTTCACAATTTTTCGTTGTCAAGGTATTTTTGTTTACTTTTCTCTTATCTTGAACGAGAATTATTCTTAATGCATCTCATTAACACACAAATTAGAATAAAAAATGTAAAATAAAAATTAAAAAATATGAAACTTATTTCAAAAGTATAACGAATAATATTTAACACAACTAAGCAATTCAAGTAATAATATTTATTATTTTATCGATATCAATTTATTCGTAAAATAACATATATGAAACAGATAACGATTTTAAAACAAACTACACTGCTCAAAAGAAATATGGCATAGAAAAATTTTATGCAAAAATTGGTCAACTTTGACTGACAGTAACTCCGCGAAAAATCATCGTAAAATTATGTTCTTTTTTTTTAAATTAAAGCTTGAAATCTCTACTTTAAGGTACTATAGTTCTTTTTTAGGTGTGATGCATCCCTACCACTGTAACACCTTAAATGTGAGGGCATGTTTGTTATATTGAAAATTACAAAGTTTGACGGAGTGCATGGGCTTGCTACATTTTTTTTCGAGGATACTGTTTACAGGAACATAAAGTACGAACCTTCCTCTTCAATTAAAAAAAAAAGAAGCCGCATTTTTTTTCGCAAGGATACAGTACTTTAAAGTAACCCTTGCATTATTGGCATATACCAGGTTGCCGGTCGGATTTTGCACATCAC